GGGGGGAGGGGAGGGGAGGGGAGGGTGGACAGGACCCCCCTGAGGGTTGTCCCCCCCCCCTAAAAATATGATTAAAAACCACGCTATTAATTGTGTAATATAATAATTAAAATAAATAATTGTGTAAGTAGTAAAACAACACAAACGCAAACGGGACAAAAGTGCGGTTTAGAAACATTTTGATTCTCCCCCTCCCTTGCCTCACAGTGCTTTGGTCCAAATGCCTGCTTTCTCTTTTACATCACCTATACACTCACAAGTCACTGAGAGAGAACAAAGTCAATATTTGTGGAACTCCAAGGCTGTCAAGGCTATTTTATTCACTTAAACATCGGATGAAGTGATTATTTTCTCTTTAATACAGATGATGCCAAGGTATTTTTCGATGAGTCCGCTATGTTAGCAATAAAAACGTTACCTGCTTGACGGAAAGGGTTGCCAGGTTTTCACAACAAAACCTTCCCAATTGCTACTCAAAACTATCCCAAACTAACCGCGTTTCGAGGGGTTCCCCAGTGTTCCAGGGGGTAAAAATACACGTTATTGGGGTCGCTTCAACCCGCGGCAATAGTGATAAAGTATCCCAATTCCCGGGAAAACTACAGATTTGGCAACACTGTGACAGGGTCGCGGCGCAACCACAACAGCTTGAAGTTGTCTAATTTGCACTAAAAGTAGTAAGAATTTCCTCTGTGTATACATATCCTTACAAGTACAATTTTAGCTGTATTATTCGTGTCCCCTTCAAAAATTGCTCTTGAGAAATTTTATGTTTATTGTCCCCCCCAACTGTTAGATTAAATTTACGCCCCTGATGTGAGTGGTCAACACCTATCAAATTAAAGGGGTCATATGATGCAATTTAAGTTACAAGATCTTGGTGCATAAAGAAGATCTGTAAAGTTGCAAAGACTAAAGTCTCAAATCCAAAGAGATATTCTTTATAAAAGTTAAGATTCAACCACGCCTACCTAAAATGGCTCGTTCTAACACGCCCCCACATATCTACGTCACTATGTGGGAAGATTTGCATAACGCCGCCCAAATGTTCACGCAAAGAAAGAAGGCATAACTTTTATTCTCGCTGTAGTATTGTTGTTGCCGCCGCAATGTCGTGAAGGCACTGTGTGATTCGGTGTGAAAGCGAAATTACTTTGTTTGGCCTTCCAAAAGAGGACGATATCTGCTTCGTCATGCCTGGAGCTGATCCGTGCTGGTTGCTGAGGAAATACTACAACTTCGCGCTGTGGATCGCCGGATCGGCTTTCACCATGGACGAAGCGGAGTCCAGCACGGAGTCGTCACATGTCATGCCGGACAATCGCTGGCCGCGCCGTTCTCAAGCCCACCCGCCTCTGCTCACTGTAGGCTGCCGCCGCTCACTCTAGGCCACCGTGTGTGATGCTGTTTCGTTGTGAAAGCGAAACTACTTAATTTGGTCTTCCAAAAATGGACACGACTAGAAATCAGTAGTTAAGTTGTATTTACAACACTGTTCCAGAACACTTCAACCCAAATATTCAGATGTGTGCAGCACATTTTATGCAGGACCGTTTCCTGATCCTGGGAGAGTAGACTACAATGCCGGCTGTTCTGACTCAAAGACTGTAAGTACGTTTTTTTATATTTAAAGAGTGATAGAAAGGGGTATGTTATTAGCTGACCAGAATATTTCAGCTGAAAGAGAACAGCTGATTTGTTTGGTTTGAGCTGGTTTAGCTGGCCTCCCATTCTGGTCAATCTGGTCTTCCATCCTAAAAGCCAGCCACAATACCGGTCAAAAGTTTGAAAAATTAAGATTTTTAATGTTTTTGAGAAAAGTTTTTTTTTGCTCACCAATGTTGCACTTATTTCATCAATAATACAGTGAAAGAAATTTAATATTATTACTTTTTAAAATAACTGTTTTCATCAAAAGAGACTTTTAAAAACACTTTTATTATTACACAAATTATTCCAAACTTGTGACCAGCAGTATAGACTACAGTAAACCAGCTGGGACTTTAGGCTAGTTTAAAATAGTTTTTTTTTTCCAACAGCAGATAAAGAACCTGAGCATGGCTCTCCTGTTCTCACCATCATTCCAATATCGTAGAGTGTCCCAACAGAGGCGAAGCAGCCGTTGTCCTGTTGCTGTTGACCCAGCCATTCCTTTGCCTGATCGATGTTAGTCTGATCTATAAATGTATAATTCCTTGCCCCACTAAAACTCTTCATCACAAATGCAGTTAGCCTGAGGAAACATAGAAATTGCTGTCAAATACACATAATTTGGTAACTCTGCCTCAATAGTTTTCAGGATGTTTCTTTGTGCAAAGTTCATGTGGACTAGGTTTTCCCTATTCCAGAAACACCTTCTTACCAGAAGGCTGTTAAATCCACATACAGGAAGACAGAATCCACGCAGTAAGACAACTAAGTTGAGTAACTAAATGCATTCATTGCCTCTGTACCAGACTCACCAGGTGTTACCAGAAGGATCATTCCTGCCAAAAGCGCTGTAGGATCCATCATCATGCATGTATGTCAGCTCTCTCTGATAGCCTGCAACACAAGAAAGAAAAAAGTCTGATATGCTTGATTATATCAACTGGACCTTTTGTTTTTTTTAAATGAATTAGGTTCGATATTTCTCTCATTAAGTTTTGATTCACCACTGAGTTGATTCATCTGTCAAATCCAGCTAATGGAAGATACAAGAGGAGCTCTGATGAGCTAGCTTGAAAAAAAAAAGTTTCAAAAATAACTAATTGTCTGTAAATTGATAGTTAAAATATCGCTATTTTTATTTATTAAAAGAAAAACAAGACTGCAAACATTAATTTTATAATCAGAATTGTTTTATTTCCTTTCTAGCAAAATATTTAAACATATTTGTATTAAAAAAATTATTTACTGCATCTTCTAGTTTATAGCAGTTTTCCTCACCGCTCTCCAGGAAGGTTATGGCTCTGTCTTTTATCTGAGGAGTGAGCTGCCCGCTGCTCTCCAGGTATTGAAGGATGTAGATATTGGGGGCAAAAAGCAGCATGTTCTGCTCTCCACAACCGTACGGCATAGCCAACAGATCACCGATGTTCCTCAGAGCACTACTCATCAGATCACCTACCGACCAAACAGCCAAATAACCCTCAGTATAATAAAAAAAAAAACCCAGAACTACCCAATGAGAGCAGTTCTATTGATTACATAGTGTTTAACATTTTAATACTTATATTACACAGCAATCAATGTATATTATGTACATTTGTCAACATATCTTTTACAGTAGGCTCACCCAGAACAGTGATAAAGCTTTTTGCAGAATCCTTGACAAACACTTTGGGTAGAGTGAGAGAAACTGATGTGTCCTGTGGACGGTCTAATGGAATAGAAAAAAAAAACATCAGGTTCAAAACATGTGGTCATGCTGTACTTTACTACAGACAATCATTTTCTCAATTTCTTGTGAAAACGACAGAGTTTAAAAGCTGAAATTGGAAGCTTTTTTGTTAAAGCTTTTTTGAAACAATAAGTATTTTAACATTTATCCAGTGCAATACCTTGCATCATTGACTTCCACTGTAAGTGCATTAACGTAAACAGGATTTTTGCTTATTTTTACAAACAGAAGGTCAACATTTTTATCTGTGGTATGTAACTGACAGCATGTTACATATGTCAACTTCTATTAAAGCTGGATTTTTTTTTCTTTATTCTTCTTTTAATTGACAGCACAACACACTATAATGCCACTAACCTGTTAAGCAGATGAGCTCATTCTGAGTGATTGACTGTTTAGTTCCTGCCGCCTGAGAAAAAAAATGGTTAATAACAGTTTCAGTTGTATTTTTAAGATTTAGATAGATAGATAGATAGATAGATAGATAGATAGATAGATAGATAGATAGATAGATAGATAGATAGATAGATAGATAGATAGATAGATAGATAGATAGATACTTGATATAGTATTACATTTACAATAAACATTTAACTATTAACTATCTTGACTATTTTTAAGACCCTAAACAATACCCAAATAGCTTTTATGTAAAAAAGTGTTGTTGTTGTTGTTTTTTCATTTAGAACAATGTTTCAACACAGTATGACCAGGAACGTGTATTAAGAAAGTAATCATGGTTTCTGAAAGCTCACATACAGTAAAGGCACGCACCTGCACCAGAACGCTGTGCATCACAGTATCAACTCTGCCTTTGTCTGGCAAAGTCACCACTTCGTTTCCACACAGTTCTCGGCTCTGGACCGCCTCAGCACGCACTGTAATGTTCACCTTTCCTGTAAAACACACACACACACACCAGTGACTGTGGATTTAAGTCACAGAAGAAACAAAGTACCCTGGGCCTGGGGCCTGCAATAATAAACAAATCTGTGACAGTCAAGGCAAGACATGTTAAAAGGAAAGTCCACCCAAAAAATAAAATTCTCTCATCATTTACTCACCTTCATATCATTCCAAACCTGTATGTCTTTATTTGTTCTGCGGATAAGATATCTTGAACAAAGTCATTAACCAAACAGTTTTAGTTCCCTCGACTTCCATTATGTGTTTGATAACCATAACCGACATTCTTCAAAATATCGTTTGTACCAGCAGAAAAAAAAAAAATTATTTTGGGATGAACTATCCCTTTAAGACATTCATATTATAAGTGTAATACCAGTTCTGGTAGAAACGTGAAATAAACTCTTCAGTTTGGGAAAGCAAATTGAAATAAAAATGAAATTTCTATTTGTTTTTGCTCATACAGAAGTCAAAGTATCTGGCTTACCCAGGACAGAGGGTGTAACAATCCACTGGAAGGTTTGGCTCTCTTCAGAGCAAACACACTGAGTGTAAGTGCAGCCTTTGCATGGCTGAGCTGTGAACTGCGCTGAGTTTACCAGCGTGACCTTCACCTTTATTAAAAGACAGAGATTTTTACAGTGTCAGCCTACAGGGAACGCTTTTACTACAAAACCGCTCCAGGAAAAACAAGTAAATGCATTAAGGGGGCTTACCATGATACATTTGGGGAGGTAGTTGAATACAGTGGCTTTGAGAGTGAACGTCTCCTCACGGATAACAGAGTAAGGGAGGGCAAGGCTCACAAAGAAGGGCTTGAAAGCAGTGAGATTAGTCTTGGGGGCCACTCCAAACCCGACAGGGGATGTGCAGAAGGCCCCTGCTGCCCATTTAGTGATGGTGTCCGGGACCGTCTTTGCAACATCCACAGATCCTGATCTCCTGGTGAAAACAAGAATATATAGTGTTTTTGTATAATTAAACAGAATTTTACAGTATATATACAGTAATGCCATGGTGCAGATTCATACCCCACAGGTATAAGATCCCATATCCAGGTTTCTGGAAAGAATTCGCGGATCTCCTCAGCAGGATTTCTCACACCTGGAGAATCTACCCTTACGCAAAGAAAATATATTTCCTAATATATGAATGATCAAAATATATTAAATGACATATTAGGTATATTAGAAATTATACAGAATAATACATTGTGTAAATATATTACAATATATTGAATAATAGATAAGCAATTGCCGCTTTCATATACTGAAAAATATGTGACAATATATTTACTTATATATCACAATATATGTAATTTTATATTCAGTAATACACTTTATAATATATAGATGTACATGTGATAAGATATGGTATACTGCATGTGTAAAAATATATTGAACATATATTTACTCATGCAGTATATACACATATATATGGAAATATATATTTCTTATATTTAACAATATATATGTTTCTTATTTTAAAATCTAGCTAGTTTACAATAGCATAACCACACCTGCTCATACTAAACACTTAGTTAACGGACTATCACTGTGCTGAGAAGTGCACAGCCATTATTTTTTTAATAAAGTAACATAATTTAATGGTGTTTGGCCAATTGTCATCCTAACCACAGTCTCTCTACTCTTCTGCACAATGGTAACCTCACAAACTTACACATACCAGAAACCCTTTTACATTTCAAAATAATACAACATTAAACACTAACAGATCTCCCCCTATATTAATATTGAGCAATACACATGACACTTAATTTAAAAATCGTTTACTCTCCTTTAACAGTCAGAGACAAAGCACGCTGGGAACTAGAAATCTGCTTTAATTCATTAGGAGAATGTGTTTATATATGTGTGTACATAAATTGACATTTTTATGGGAACATCTACAGTATGTGCAATATAAACTTAACAAAGGATAAAACATCATGAATATTAGATTTATCTTTGTCTTCATCTCTAAATATATTTGTATGTATCTATATATAGCCATATACTGTCAATACAGATACTGTTGTGTATTGAAAAATATAAGCACTAGTTTCCAATATATGGAAATGTATTATGTAATATATCTCATTATATTTTACAGTATATTCCCATGTATTTTTATTCCATAAGGGTACCGGCGGCGTAGATTTTTTTACCTATTAAAGCCTGAAATGGCATCCCTTTGATCTCACTTTCTATTTCCTTCCACTTTGTTTCCACCTCTAAATCACACCAATATACCAGTGGTCTTCACTGTGTGGCATAGTAGTAATCTTTGAGACTGGGGAGGGTCATACCTCCTTTACTTGTATCCATTTGAAAAGTTTTTATATCTAATTCTTGTTTCCCTTCCGAGGGAACATCGAACTGAGTCCTCTAGCGGTCGCTACGGGAAATGCCTTCAGCGTGACTGGTGTCTGAAGCATACATCTAAACACGGCCATCATCTTCTTCGTTCCGGTAAGAACGATTTTTTTTTCTTCTTTACCACGGCAAGCACCAGTAAGGCGTTTAAGAAGTGTGTGGATCCGTGTCCTCGTTATTTGACACCTGATGACACACACGATTTTTGTCTTTTGTTTGAGCAAAGAGCACGTGCGCGATGTCCTCGAGGGGGCAATCTGCGTGCATTATGAGCATTTTCCGATGAAAAAGCTCCGCTCTTATTTGTCTCTTTTTTCAAGGAAAGAGGGGCAGCCATCAGTTCAGAACCCACCGCTGCTGAGGCACAGAAGAAAATTAACTCGTGGGGATCACAGGTGGACCTGGCTGAGGAGTTGAAAAAGGGTCTTTCCCTTTCACGCTCATCGATCACAGACGAGAGTGAGCTGCTGGATGACGATGCTATTTCTCTTACGTCGTCTGATCCAGTGGCAAGTGCTCTGCTGGCTCCAAGCCAGGAAGAGCAGGAGATGTCAGATGAGGACGAAGAAGTTGAGACTGAGTCCTCTCATTCCTCCTGCCCTGCGTACGGTGAGTTGCTTGTGGTTATGGAACGCGCCATGGCGAGGCTTGACTTGCTGTGGAAGCAGGCCAAGAAAGTGGCGCCTCGAGGCTGCCTCGATGAGCATTATCTTTCTGACCATAGCCCTCCAGCTCAAGTGAGCCTTCCATTTCTTCCTGATCTCCATGTGGAAATCGAGAAGGCTTGGAAAAATAAATTTTCGTCCCACATCCATAGGTTTCAGCATACTAGTTATGCCAATATTGAGGGGATGTGTGAGAACGGTTATGAGAAGATGCCCCCTGTTGAAGAGATGCTGGCCTGCTATCTCTCTGTGGGTGAGACATCTTCTCTTAAGGTTCCCTCCCTGCCATCCAAACTGCTTCAAGATACATCTTGTTTGAATGGCAGGGCATACGCAGCAGCAGGTCAGGCTGCAGCTTCCTTGCACACCATGGCGGTACTTCAGGTTTATCAGGCTGACTTGTTGAAAGACCTGGATAAAGGTCAGGGTTTATCCCCTGATGAGGTGGCTGAGTTGCATCGCATAACAGCTCTTGCTCTCCGTGCCACTAAGCAGGCAACCACTGCCATTGGCAGATCTATGGCGGCCATGGTGGTTACGGAGTGGCATCTGTGGGTGAGGCAAGATTTGAGGGAGGTGATCCAGACGAGGCAGGGCGTATGCAGCAGCAGGTCAGGCTGCAGCTTCGTTGCACACCATGGTGCTGCTTCAGGCTTATCAGGCTGACCTGTTGAAAGACCTGGATAAAGGTCAGGGTTTATCCCCTGATGAGGTGGCTGAGTTGCATCGCACCATAGATCTCGCTCTCCGTGCCACTAAGCAAGCTGCCACTGCCATTTGCAGAACTATGGCGGCCATGGTGGTTACGGAGAGGCATCTGTGGGTAAACCTGGTGGATATCGGGACAAAAGAGAAGGGCTTTATCCCTGATGTGCCAGTTTCCCCTTCTGAGATTTTCGGCACTTCCGTCGAGACGGAGGTCAAGAAGTTTAAGGAGGCCAAGACGTGCTCGGCTGCCTTTAAATCCTTCATTCCACAAAGGTCCAGGTCTGAGCCTGAACAACAAAGGGTCCTGGTCCCTCTCAATCTAAGGGTCAGAGGCGGGCACAGAAGACTAGTGCCGTGACTCGTGCCCCTCCCCCGCCTTTGAGTACGGCTCAAAGGAGGCGTGAGTCAAAGGGTAACAGGCAAGATTTGGGGGAGGTGATCCAGACGAGGTGTTCTCAACACTCTCATCCAGACCAGAGTAAAACCTGAGCCATCTTCTCACCTCCATCTGAGAGTATTAACATCTGCTCTCATCTTCCTCCCCTTAATTCCCCAAAAGCCACCCCCCTGACCGAGGTTAGGTGGGAGCCTCCTGCGCTCGCATTACAGTCTCTCATGCTGGACCTATGATGTTTGATTAGTTTCTATATCTCATAGAAATACCTACTGATGGTCCGGACCCAAGCGCTCTTCGGACTTCGCCTTCAGATTATATCCATGAGCTTGAGTCATGCGTGGGAGCCGTGGTGGGTGAGGACAATACATTTCATGTACTCTATTGCTAGTTTATGTGAATTCACTAACTAGTTTTCCCTGCAGCACTACTTGGACCTGTTCCTGTTTTCTGAATTGCGCTGTTTCGCTGTTGACCGATTGTGGTGATGACCACACCTGTCGGTATTGGATCCAGGCTGGATGTTAGCCCTACATCTTCGGCTTCATGCCTACTGAACCACACAGCCTAGTCGCTGGGCTTCTGCGCTAGCCTCCTTAGCCATCAGGTCCTCGGTATTACACTGCGACCTCAGGACTTGCCGATCCTCCATTCAGGTTGAGCAATTTTTTGGAGTATATGCTTCGTGACGTGCTCCCTGGTGTCCTGGCTGGGTGTTTGCTTCGAGAAGCTGCCTTGGCCAGGACTCTCTACTCATGTCTCTCCCCGAGGGGTCTCTAGAGATTTGAGTCATCCTCTCAACCATCATGCATGCTCTCTGAGCTAGAGCTCCCCTCACTGAGGCGTTGAGTGCTTAACACTCCTTAACTCCACTCTGCAGTTTGATAGATGGTCAGGCAAGTGGGACCTCCCTGTCACACTGCCCTTATGGTCGAACTAGTGAATCGCCCCTTCATGGAGTGGGCTTGAGTACACTGACTTCTCTAAGGTACAAGTGAGATGTGTGTCTGCAGAAACTCTTTCTGAGTGCTTCAGTTCTGAGGAGCAGTAGCTCTGTATGAATGAATGGGTTATTGGGTCCCGTTGCCTATACATGTTATCTTTGGACCTGGCTAAATGGGACCCATGCTCTCTATCGAGATATAAAACTGTGCTCAGCTGCATCAGTTGACGGTCTCTCGTTGGGCCCTGCTAGACTGCCCCTTCAAATCTAGCGCTGCCTTCTGGTCGAGCTTGGAAGTGCTCTCCTCACTGCGAGGGTTAGCTATGAGCCTGTCGCTCCCAGTTTGGCCGCGCTCCCCTGACTCCTATCGCTTCGGAGGGTGTTTTATGAGCTCGCCGGTCCTGGGCAGTTTATGTGAGTCCTCCTCTCTATTTGAGAGCTAGGCACTTTGCACCTGGGCTAATGATCGCTTCAGTCGAGCTGGGTTCCCCTCTCTTTGCTAAGGGCAGAACCCTCCGCTCTTTGAGCTCCATCACAGCGACATCAGGTGGTTTGGCCGCTTGCTGCCTCCTTGATAATTTGCCCCTTTTGGCCGAGTCTAGCAATGCTCCCCTCATGCTCTTGGAGCTCAATTGAGCAGCAGCCTCAGGTTGTTAGGCATCTCTCTGCCACCCTGTTAGGCTGCTCTCTGTGTTGGTTGAGTTTAGCAGTGCTCCCCTCTCTTAAGAGGGTTACATTTGAGCATACCGCTCCCAATTGAGCATCTGGGGTCTCCTCTCATCGGTCCTCTGCTCCTTGGAGCTTAATTGAGCAGCAGCCTCAGGTTGTTAGGCCTCTCTCTGCCTCCCTGTTAGGCTGCTCTCCTTGATTGGTTGAGCCTAGCAGTGTGCCCCCCCCCCTTACCTTAGAGGGTAACCTATGAGCATTCTGC